TAAGGGAGCAGGGAGGGAGGGGAAACAATGAGGAGCTGATACCAAGGGCTCAAGTAGAAAGCAGATGTTTTGGGAAAGATGAGGGCAAGAAAAACACCACTGTGCTTGACACAATGGACGAATGTATGGCTTGTGATAAGAGTTGTATGAGCCCCAATAAAATTATTTATAATTTTTTTTAAAAAAGTAATTGCTTTACTGCAGATCCAACTCATAAAAAACATGAAGTTGCTCTTGAATTATGCAAGGAAAAGAAAAGGTCTAAAATAATTTGGAAACATCTCAAATTGGTTGTTATGAATTGAATAATGTTATGGATTGAATGCGATAAATCCTAAACTACATCCGTGGTTCTCTTCTCATGTGGGAACGAGTATTGTTTTATTATTGAGGCAAGATTTTTGGAGGGTGTGTGTCTTACAATAGAGAAATGGAATCAGTAGAGATAGAGGAAGACAGATTCTATGTCACACGGAGATCTCCAAAGAACCAAGAACCAGAGGATGAAGAGACAAGGACTATTCCCCAAAGTTGACAAACTTCTAAAGCATTCCCCGATCCAGTACTCTGAATTTGATCTTGTAGTTTCCTACACTGTGAGAAAATCAATGTTTCTTAAGGCCACCCACATTTAGGTATTTGTTTATAACAGCACTAAATAATTGAGATGCCAGTTTGTTTCCAAAACTAAATATAACAGTTAGTGTATCACCCTAAAAATTACCAAAACTCTACTATTGAAATTTTAAAAGGACTATATAATTTTTCTAAACCTAGACTTTTTTTAAGTAACTCACTTTATTGGGGGCTCTTACAGCTCTTATAACAATCCACACATCAATTGTATCAAGCACATATCTACATATGCTGCCATCAACATTTTCAAAATTCTTTCTACTTGAGCCCTTAGTATCAGCTTTCCCCCCCTTTCCCCGACCCTCAATAAATTATAAATTATTATTTTCATATCTTACACCGTCCTCTCTCTCCCTTGACACACATTTCTGTTGTTTGTCCCCCTGAGGGCAGGGAAGGCGTTGTGTATTATACTTCCATCATTGCAATCGCTACTGACGGTTTTATATGTCCTGGATTCTGTGTGTAGGGCTTTTATCTGTACCAGTGTACATGCTCCGATCTAGCAGAATTTGTAAGGTAGAACTGGGGTTATGATGGGGGTGGGGAGGAGAACATTGAAGAACTAGAGGAGTGTTATGTCTTTCATGGGTGCTATACTGAACCCTGGTTGGCTTGTCCCTTTCCTTGTGACCCTTCTTTGAGGGGATGTCCAATTGTCTATAGATGGGCTTGGGGTCTCCACTCCAACCCCCCTCGTTCACATCAATATGATTGTTTGTTTTGATCTTCTGATGCTTGATACCTGATCCCGTCAACATCATGTGATCACACAGGCTGGTGCACTTCTTCCATGCGGGTTTTGTTGCTTCCCTGCTAGATGGCCACTTATTTAATTGCAAGCCTTTAAGACCCCAGATGCTGTAACTTTTAATAGCCGGGCACCATCAGCTTTCTTCAGCACATTTGCTCATATACCCATTTTGACTTCATCAATCTTGTCGGGAAGATGAGCATCACAGAATAACAGGTTATTAGAACAAAGTGTTCTTGT